GTTTTGACGAATCAACATTTTTGATGAAAAATGTTTCTTCAAAAAATCCTGACCAGTTCTACTCTGGAAGCAACTGAAATTATAAACTAACTAACATCTATGGGTACTCTAAACTGTGCTGACTAATGGGACATTGTGTGTTACTGTTAGATGTCATATAGAGAAATTATTTTCTCTATCAATTTTTACAAACCTAATTGCTAACAGGAGCCTATTGCCTTTAATCCACACATGATGAGTTCATTTTTTATGTTCTGCTAATGTATATAAATTATGTCCTTACACAGACTTATCGTTCAGTTTCTTGTATTTGAACCGTCATGGTCATATGTTTCCTGGAGATTTGTTACTTGAAGAATTTCATCAGTTACTTAAATTTAAGTTGTCATTTAACATACTGGCAATGGGACCTGATTTTTTTTTTTTTCTCTTTTCTGGTGGCCTGCCATCGTTTCTCTTGTTTGGTTTTGAAGTTTTAGAACTCAGTTAATGTTGGAAGGCTTTTGCACATATTGTTAGTAGTAGTCATAGTAAATACTTCTTTGTTAGCGCCTGAAGATTGGGGCTCACTTTTGCTCAGGGTAGGGGGAGAGGGGAGGGAAGAGGGAGGTATTTTGCAATTGGAAGGAACAAAACTGAGAGGGCAGTGAAATGGGGTATATACAAAAAAAAAATGAAGGGAAAGAATATACAGCTTTGCTACACATATCCTTTTTAATCTTTTCAACTCAGAGTTGCCTCTTAGCAGTGCCCCTCTCCCTTTTCCCTCCCCCTTTTCTTATCATTTATATTTAAATTTATTGCATTCCTTCTTATTTAGTTCCATTGTTCTCTGCAAAGTCAATTCTTCCAACTGATGAAGTAGATGCAGGGCTGGTCTGTGGACTGGATGCAGCATAATCCAGTGCAGATGCTCCATGCAGTGCATGTCTTGGACCAGCCCGGCGTGTTGCTTGCAGTACATGTGTCGGGTCTGGTCCTGCACACCCTGTGTAGTCTGCGCTGGCCCTGACCTTGCATGCAGCAAAAACTGGGGCCAGTCAGTGCATGATACATCCAGTATGTGGGGCAGTCTGTGGCAAGTGCTTCATGTGTGACATTGGGCTGGCCCTACATGCTGGATCCAGGGCCAGTCTGGACTGTGCCCACAGACTGGATCCCCTGACCGGCCCTATGCACTATATGCAGCACATGCCAGCACGAGCTCTTCATGGCATATGGTGCATAGGACTAGTCTGAAGTGCATGCTGCATGTGTATCTCTGCCAGATGAGCCCTGAATGCTGGATCTGGCACAGTCATTCAGTGGGCCTGATCCAGACTGGCTCCAAATCCAGTGTGCAGGACTGGTCCAGCATGGACACCACAGAGTGTTTCTAAACTTTGCATGCAATGCCTATGCTGGCTCCAGTCCCTATGCCATGTGCAGCCTGTGCCAGACAGGCTCCACATACCACATGTAGTGTGTATGGCTGGGGCCAGTTTACACTGCATGTGATATGCTGGTCTGAGACCCATGGGCAGCACTGTGGGCCAGATGGTAGGGTTCTGCAGGCCACATCTGTGACTCTTTTATTAAGTACATTATCACTTTTATGAAAGCTTGTGCTTCTGAACACATTAGTCTTTAAGGTGCCACCCTGCCCTGCCTTCTTTACTGAAACTGAGTAAGAACTTCTATGTTTTTGCTATGTATAAAAATTTTACTCAGGACCTTGTACCTTTTGCCTAAAAATGAGTATTCTAAAGCAGTGAATTCACAAAGCCGTTATGATGGCTCTTCTAAAAACCAAAGCAAAATAGACATTGAGAAGAAGCAATTATTGTCAGATGGCACAGCCAGACTGGCTAAGCATTTCAATTCAATTTATAACAGGAATCCAAATGAAGGGGCTGAGCATTTTGAAATGATGTTTAAATGGAGTGGTGCCAGAGGAAGATAAATCAAAGCTCTTATAGAAACTGAAGAGCCAGAAATCTGGGACAGCTCTATAATATGAAAATAGAAGTCTGTTTTACTGGCAGTTTGGGCTTTTTTAATGAAAACATAGCTACTAAAACATAAAATGTGATGTGCTGCTTCTGAAATACACTGATCACTGAACTAGAAAAAACCCAAACCAGAGAGCTTTAGTTTAATTTAGAAGTCGGTATGGCTGTACCTGAATGTTTTCTGTGGAACAGGCATTTTGAATATTAATATTTTAAGGTATATTATGATGTATGAGAACTTGACATGAACAGTGAAATGGTTTTATATGAGGGAAAGTAATATTTCCATTTATGTATAAAGAAGGAGTTTAAAAAAACAAAACAAAAAACCCTCTTTAAAGACTAGAATGAGGATAAACAAATATATATTTCTGTTTCCACTAGAAAACCATTTATTACCTGTGTAAGCAACTTTTATCATTTAAACCTTTACTACTTTGCTAGATAATGACACAGATGAATTCTATTCCCCATGATACAGTGGGGTGTTTCTGTTGTCTTCGTTACAATTCCTCAATCTGTATGTACAGATGGATAAATGGATAAGTACCCCACATGCTAGGTTAATCGTCAAATACTGTATCACTGTCTCTTCATTATTATTCTTTTGATGATGATTATTTTAGGATGTAGCAGTGTAGCTTGTTTACTTGAGTTGAATTTTTTTTTTTTTTAACAGGAGTTACTAAAAGATCCTTTGTATATTGGACTGAGACACAAAAGAGTGAGAGGTCAAGCCTATGATGATCTTCTTGATGAATTCATGCAAGCTGTGACTTCAAGGTACACGATACATTTGCTATTCATTGGGCTCAACTGCTATAGTGTTCTGAGTCTTGTCTGTTTCTTATGCCTCAGAGTGCACCACATAGTAAATTAAAGTCAGGGTAATTATCCATGTATGAAATTATACGTTTGGGTGTATCCATGACTGGTGAACTTTCAACTCCAAGGAGTGGACAGAGATCATTTATATCTGTATTAGGTAATATTGGTATAGGCAGTTAGAATATAACTGATGTGTCTGCATGCTCCTGTGATGGTAAATGTGGAGCAAAATCATTGCAACTTGAATGCTGTTTAATTCAGAGTTAAAATGTGGTGCAGCGGACCGTTTTGACTTTCAAGTGATTTATTCTAAATCATGTCAGATTATTCCTGTTTCATCCATGGTTATTTTTATAAAGGAATGGTCTAGCTTCTGTGCTACAGCAGTGTATGCCATCTTTCTGGTCACTTTTTATTATGTTTAAGCTCCACAGCATATGGTAAACTTTTCTGTTCCTTTTTGTCATGATTTAGCTAACTTATACCATTACAGGAGTATGCAGTTTTAACAGTTACATTTTGGCTAGGGACAGGCATTCAACTCCAGTGCAATAAATTTATAGGAAACATGGTGGGGAGTGGTAGGCGTGGGGGAGGGGAGGAGGTGAGAGCAGGGCATACAGGCATTTCAGCCCCATGGTTGCCTCAAGAGTGAGCTTTCCAGCCAGGGGGTGATAAGGAGGTTGCTCCCCTAGTCCCTATGGCAGAGAGGTTGTTTCCATCTGATACCACATGAGCATCAGCTGGGGGTAGCTGCAGGAAAGAGGCAGCCTCTTGCCTCCTGGAGCAGGAGGTGTGCTCCCTGTCCCTGCCCCTCTGTGGGCAAACTGGGTCTGTGCTTTCAGTCCTGGCTCCAACCTGGTACTATTCAAAGGGCAGCAGGAAGTGGAGCTGTCCCCAGGGTTTCTTCAGTGCTGTGGGAGAAGTCTGGTTGTTGCTCTTCTCATTGCACGAAACTGACTATTGCTGGGGCAACTGGTGCTTGCCAGTGTTCTGGCTTTGGGGGCAACTCTTCCCATGGCTCTGAGAGAATGGACCAGCGCCTGTGCTGCAGCAGCCACAAGGGGGATCCCATCCCCTGGTCAGAACAGTAGGCATGGGACAGCCACACCAGCCAGCAGAGCTGGAGTGCTGCTGCCCATGGCTGGCACACAACTCCCCTGCTTTGGTCCACCCAGATCAGTGGGACCAGGCAGGGGGGCAGCCTCTGGTCCTGAACACAGCTGGCCCCTGCCTGGTTTCCTGATCAGCTGATTGGCAGAACTGGGTGGGAGGCAGCTCCCAAAAGGCCACCCTGTACCCAGTCACCTTTTAAAGTAGGTGAAATGTATACCTGTCCATAACATTTGAGTCAACATTTATTTAAATTTATCTCTGTTCTAGTAAATGGACATCAGAAATATTTATTCTTAAATAAGGCAAATGAAAACCAGGGTTTTAAGGGAGAGCACAACACCTATTCAGACTCAGATATTTTCAAGTAAAGGGGATGCAATAGAAGGAACTACAGCAAATATCTATTAAGCATCTTTCCTTTTTAAACAATATTTATTCTATTCTAATGGGTTTGGGAGTCAGATTACAATAAACAGTTTGAGAAACACCCTAATTATAAACAGTTTTAGAATGACGTATATTAACAAGTTTGCGGATGACACAACTGTGGGGAGAAGTGGACATGCCGGGGGGCAGGGAACAACTACAAGCAGACCTGGACAGGTTGGACATGTGGGCGGAAAACAACTGAATGCAATTCAACAAGGAGAAATGCAAAGTGCTGCACCTAGGGAGGAAAAATGTCCAGCACACCTACTGCCTAGGGAATGACCTGCTTGGTGTAACAGAAGAGGAAAGGGATCTTGGAGTCCTAGTGGACTCCAAGATGAACATGAGTCGGCAGTGTGACAAAGCCATCAGAAAAGCTAATGGCACTTTATCGTGCATTAGCAGATGCATGACGAACAGATCCAAGGAGGTGATACTTCCCCTCTATCGGGCGCTGGTCAGACCGCAGTTGGAATACTGCGTGCAGTTTTGGGTGCCACACTTCAAGAGGGATGTGGATAACCTGGAGAGGGTCCAGAGAAGGGCCAGTCGTATGGTTAAGGGCTTGCAGGCCAAGCCCTATGAGGAGAGACTAGGGCACCTGGACCTCTTCAGCCTCCGCAAGAGAAGGTTGAGAGGCGACCTTGTGGCTGCCTATAAGTTCATCACGGGAGCACAGAAGGGAATTGGTGAGGTTTTATTCACCAAGGCGCCCCTGGGGGTTACAAGAAATAATGGCCACAAGCTAGCAGAGAGCAGATTTAGACTAGACATTAGGAAGAACTTCTTCACAGTTCGAGTGGCCAAGGTCTGGAATGGGCTCCCAAGGGAGGTGGTGCTCTCCCCCACCCTGGGAGTCTTCAGGTCTCTCCTCATAGGGCTTGGCCTGCAAGCCCTTAACCATACAAGTGGCCCTTCTCTGGACCCTCTCCAGGTTATCCACATCCCTCTTGGTGTGGCACCCAAAACTGCACGCAGTATTCCAACTGCGGTCTGACCAGCGCCCGATAGAGGGGAAGTATCACCTCCTTGGATCTGTTCGTCATGCATCTGCTGATGCACGATGAAGTGCCATTAGCTTTTCTGATGGCTTTGTCACACTGCCGACTCATGTTCATCTTGGAGTCCACTAGGACTCCAAGATCCCTTTCCGCTTCTGTTCCACCAAGCAGGTCATTTCCTAGGCAGTAGGTATGCTGGACATTTTTCCTTCCTAGATGCAACACTTTGCATTTCTCCTTGTTGAATTGCATTCTGTTGTCTTCCGCCCATATGTCCAACCTGTCCAGGTCTGCTTGTAGTTGTTCCCTGCCCCCTGGCATGTCCACTTCTCCCCATAGTTTTGTGTCATCCACAAACTTGGACAGAGTACACTTCACTCCCTCGTCCAAGTTGCTGATGAAGAGTATTGGTCCAAGGACCGAGCCCTGCGGGACCCCACTGCCCGCACCCTTCCAAGTCAATACCGACCAATCCACTACGACTTTCTGGGTGCGACCCTCTTATATTTTTCTTTAACAGAACTAGCAAATGGGAACTGGGAAAAGGGGAGAAAAAATTGGTTCCCAGGTCATCTTGCTGATTTCTTTACTCTGGTCATTAATAGATGGAATGAAGGACTATAATCTAAATTACTAAAGGGAGCGTTTAATCATTTGGTTACTAACAACGTATAGTCTGGACCTGATCCTGAGATGTGATGAGCCCCATCAGTAGAAATTAGTCAGACGTTTTTAGGTTCTTGTCCTGCATATTTACAGCTTTGTTATGGTATAAACATCCTGACCTTAGAGAAGCCTTAGACTGTGTACAAACGTTCAAATGTTCTGGGAGAATTTTCTAAGGTTTGTTCTCCTGTTAGAAAAACTTAGCCAGAGATGCTTGGACAGACATTTGAATACTCTTGAAGAGCCCTTGAAGAGCAGAGAAAGCTTGCAGTGCTGATACTGCACAGCCAGGGCAGGGCCTGCACACACACATCATGCAAAAGCTGCAGTTGAGTTTGTCTGCCTTAATTTCTTGTTAGTCAGTTCTTGAGTGATTGCCAGGGAGCCTGATGTTAGTGCTGAGCCAAGATTTTTGAAATAAGAGATTGTCTGCTTTCCTGTTCCAGGGCTGATGTTTGAGTAAGAAAGTAACTTCTAATGATACTAATCCTGTATCACTGAATAGTAGAGGAGAAACGAACTTGAAAGCTCCAACATAAGCCATCTTTGGGAAATGGGGCACCAATATCAAAACTTAGAGAGAAAAAAAATTAAACCTACTGAATGTGCAGATTTTCAAGATGGTGACACTTATTTTCATAGATTATAAAGTCAGAAGGGACCCAATGGATCATTGTGTCCGACCCCCTGCCCCTTGCACGTGAGGAGCCCTTGATAATCAAGGGGTACCTTCACAGACAGTTTGATCAGTGATAAGTGTGTTTTGCATTTTCAGTTGTCTAGTTTTGCTTTTCTTTTCTTGTTCATGGACAACTGAAAGACTGATCTGCCTCCCCTAGGTCTAAGGGTAATTATGAAATAAATAGAACAGTTAAAATAGAAAGGGCACGGGTATGCCATATATGAGACTGTTTTCCCAGAGATCCAATGGTAAAAATGTTATGAAAAGCATGTGACGGCTATAACCTGTATCTATGAAAAACATGTGACACACAAATATGAGAACTGGCAAGCATGATGCTTAATTTTGGGAGTGAAACTACTAAAACCCCAAGAAACTAATTAACTTTGTTTTGTTTAGATACTGTATGCTATGCAACTTCTGTATTTGAAAAGTAGTATATCTGAATTATTCCCTATATGTCCCAGGGCTGGGGCTGGCAGGGGTTAGTTCTCTGGCAACTGCCAGGGAAAGGAGCTCCTGCATGAAAGAGCCATAAGGTTCCCGGAGCTCATATGCTACCCTGGACTGAGTAGCATGCTAGACTAGGGGAGAAGTTTGCCTTATATGGGCAGAGTGATTCCATCGTTGTTGTTGTTATAGTCCAGGGGTTGATGTTTGTGTTGTTGTTTGAACCGGTGGTTTGGGATGAGGGGAAGTACAGAGGTTTCATTAGTGCCCAGAAGAGGCATGCAATTGCCTTGGGCCACGTCAGCAGTTAGCCTGGAGCTCAGGTAGTTACAGAACCTGTGAAGGGTGGCGTGTGCGCAAAACACAGAGCACAGAAGGGGCCAGAGGTCCTGGCACCAGGGCGGGTGCAACAGACAGGGGCCAGACAGCCCAACACCAGAGGGATGCAGAGACATGGGGCAGAGAGCATGGTGCCACAGGTGCGCAGCGTATGGGGCCAGAGTTCCCATGATGGGAAAGGAGGGAGCGGAGCTAGCACCTCAAAGCCAGATCTAACACAGCATACTTAGGTTAGAAGGCTGAGCCACATTAAAGGGGTAGTGGCTGAGTAG